GAATGTGATTAGGCAGGAGACTAGAACAAAGCCATACACTAGTGATTTAGGGTATATTTTGATCTGTTAGAAGAAACTTTATCTCAAAATTTTAAAGAGAGAACAACTCATATATATATGTATATGCCAAAAATAAGGGTAACTACTATGAAGGGATAAAATATGACTCTAAAAATGAAAAATAAAAAATGTCTTTTTAAAAAAGGGGATTGATAAGATGTTGGTTGAAAAAGGGAAAAAGAAAAATTAAAAAAACAGTAAAAAAATTAACTTTGAAAAACTAATGAATCATGGTAAAAAAAAGCCATGAATTCTATGTGCAGTATTCCCCTAGCGCTGGAGTTCTCCCGTTCTCCTTGATTGGTAAACTTGGTCTTGGCTTGCTGGCTGTTCATGCTGATCTTCTGGGGGAGGGGCCTGTTGCCATGGTTCCCAAATGTCTTTGCCGGAGGCAGAATTGCCCCGCCCTTGTCGGTCTGGGCTAAGCAAGCTGCTTGGGTTTGCTCTCAGGAGCTTTTGTTCCCTGCAAGCTCTGGTACAGCTTTGGAGGACCAGGGTGAAAATGGTGGCCTCCCAATCTCCGCTCGGAGGAGCTGAGAACTCAGGGCCCCACTCCTCAGTGCGCCCCAGAGAAAAGCAGTCACTCCCGTCTCCCTGGTCTCCGGCCGCACTGCGTGTTCACCCAGCCTGGGACCGAGCATTTCTATCTCTGGCACTCAACCCCGTGTGGAGTCTCCAAACCCAGCAGATCCCTGACATACGCTCCTGCGCCTCTCCTCCCGGGGGAAGGAGGGGAGTCTCCCCGGATCTCCCGCTTCTTGGGTCCCTGCTGGAAGAGCAGTGGCCCGACTGGGCCGCAGATTCACAGTTTATGGCAACCCAGAGCTGAGAGCCCGTGCCTTGGCTCCGTCTCTGCAGCCAGCTTCCCCGCTCCAATACCTGGGATCTCTGCTGCACTCAGGCAGCCCTGGTCTTTCTGTGACTCCGAGCGTCCTGAGACCACACTGTCCCGCGAGGGTTCCACCCCCCGCTTAGCCACTTGAGCAAGGTCTCTCAGTGGAGCCGGCTTCTAAAAGTTCTGATTTTGTGCTCCGCGGCTCTATCACTTGCCAGAAGTGGCCAATGGAGGCCCCCTCCCCCGCCGTCTATCCTCCCAAATATCACCTCTGATTCACTTCTCTGCAGGTCCTACCTTCCAGTAAGTGGTCGCTTCTCTGTTCAGAGAGTTGTTGCTACTCTCTTCTTCAGTCTCCTGTTGAGTTCGTAGGTGTTCAGAATGGTTTGATCCCTATTCAGCTGAATTCCTGAGATCAGACGAAATCCAGGTCTCCTACTCCTCTGCCATCTTGCTCCGCCCCCTCCACATAAGTTTAAAAACTTGCGTATACTTTACTTTTTACATCTTGGATTTCTGCCTCAACTATTTTCACTGAAAAGTTTATTGCCAACATCTTTCTCTGTTAGAACCAGAAATGTATCTCTCTCTCTTTTTTTTAAGATTTTGTTTATTTGACAGAGAGACATAGCAAGAGAGGGAACACAAGCAGGGGGAGTGGGAGAGGGACAAGCAGGCTTCCTGCCGAGGAGGGAGCCCAATGCGGGGCTCAATTCCAGGACCCCAGGACCATGGCCTGAGCCGAAGGCAGACACCTAACAACTGAGCCACCCAGGTGCCCCCAGAAATGTATCTCATAATACTATAAATAAACCACAACAAGAATGGATAGTGCTGCATTGTGTTGATGTGCTAGAATTTACATACCTGGTCCCTCTTAATGGTTATTTTTACAAATATTCTGTTATGATAAAGGACTAGTATCCAAAAATCTATAAAGAACTTATCAAACTCAACACCCAAAGTACAAATAATCCAGTCAAGAAATGGGCAGAAGACATAAATAGACACTGTTCCAAAGAAGACCTACAAATGGCCAACAGACACATGAAAAAAATGCTCCACATCACTCAGAATCCGGGAAATACAAATCCAAACCACAATGAGATACCATCTCACACAAGTCAGAATGGCTAAAATTAACAAGTCAGGAAATGACAAATATTGGCAAGGATGTGGAGAAAGGGGAACCCTCTTACACTGCTAGTGGGAATGCAAGGTGGTACAGCCACTCTTGAAAACAGTATGGAGGTTCCACAAGAAGTCAGTGGAAAATAGAGCAACCCTACGACCCAACAATTGTACTCTAGGTATATACCCCAAAGATATAAATGTAGTGATCCAAAGGGGCACCTGCACCCATACCTTTAGCTGACATAGCAGCAATGTCTGCAATAGCCAAACTATGGAAAGTACTGAGATGTCCATCAACAAATGAATGGATAAAGAAGATGTGATATATATAAATACAATGGAATATTACTCACCCATGAAAAAATAATGAAATCTTGCCATTAGCAATGACGTGGATGGAACTAGAGGGTATTATGCTAAGCAAAATAGGTCAATCATAGAAAGACAATTATCATATGATATACACATTCATTTTGAGTGCACAGGGAACATTCTCCTGAATTGATCACATACTGGCTCACAAATTAGGCCTCAACCAGTACAAAAAGATTGAGATTATGCCATGCATATTTTCAAACCACAATGCTATGAAACCTGAAGTCAACCACAAGAAGAAATTTGAAAGGACCACAGATATATGGAGTTTAAAGTATGTCCTACTAAAGAATGAATGGGTCAGCCAGAAAATTAAAGAATTAAAAAATACATGGACGATCATGAAAATGAAGACATTACAGTCCAAAACCTTTGGGATGCAGCAAAGGCGGCCCTAAGATGGATGTATAGCAATATAGGCCTTCTTCAAGAATCAAGAAAAGTCTCAAAAATACACAACCTAAACTTACATGTAAAGGAGCTAGAAAATGAATAGCAAATAGAGCTAACTCTGACAGGAGAAGAGAAATAATAAAGATTAGAGAAGAAAGCAATGATATAGAAATTTAAAAGTAAACCCAGTAGAACAGATCAATGAACATAGGAGCTGGTTCTTTGAAAAAAATTTAAAAATTGTTAACCCCCGGGGTGCTTGGGTGGCTCAGTCATTAAGCATCTGCCTTCAGCTCAGGTCGTGATCCCAGGGTCCTGGGATCAAACCCCGCATCGGGCTCCCTGCTCAGCCGAAAGCCTGCTTCGCTTCTCCCTCTCCCACTCCCCCTGCTTGTGTTCCCTCTCTCACTGTGTCTCTCTCTGTCAAATAAATAAATAAAATCTTTTAAAAAATTGTTAATCCCCTAGTCAGAATTATCAAAAAGGAAAGAGAAGGAACTGAAATAAATAAAATCATGAATGTAAGAGGAGAGATCACAACCAACACTGCAGAACTACAAAGAATTATAAGAGAAAGTTATGAGCGATTATATGCCAATAAATTCGGCAATCTGAAAGAAATGGATAAATTCCTAGAAACAAATATACTACCAAAACTGAAAGAGGAATAAATAGAAAACCTGATCAGCCCGATAACCAAAGAAACTGAATCAGTAATAAAAAATCTCCCAACAAAAAAAAGAGTCCAGGGTCGGAAGGCTTTTCAGGGGAATTCTAGCAAACATTAAAAAAAACAACAACAACAACAAAAAAAAACTATTCTTCTGAAACTGTTCCAAAAACAGAAATGGAAGAAAAACTTCCAACTCATTCTGTGAGACCAGCATTACCTCGATCCCCAAACCAGACAAAGACCCTAATAAAAAGGAAAATTACAGACCACTATCCCTCATGATCATGGATGCAAAACTTCTCAACAAGATACTAGCTAATCGGCTCCAACAGTATATTAAAAGGGTAATTCACCACAACCAAGAGGGATTTATTCCTGGGCTGCAAGCATAGTTCAACATCTGCAAATTGATCAACATGATACACCACATTAATAAAACAAAGGATAAGAACCATATGATTCTCTCTCTCAATAAATGCAGAAAAAGCATTTGACAAAATACAGCATCCTCTTGGGCTGCTCTCCCTGGATTCCCAGGCTCTGCTAGGAGAAGGCTGAGCCACATAGAGAGGTGAGGTTCACATTTTGCTGCACTGACAACCTGAGCTCCCAGGAAACCAGCAGCCTCACCTGCCAGCCTTGTGAGGGAGCCTTGTGGAGCCTTTAGATGACACAGACACAGATGTCATCTGCCCACAGGAGCATGAGAAACTCTAAGCAAGAACTACCAAGCTGAGCCCAGGCAACACATAGAACTATGAGAGATGATAATGTTGTTTGTAACCATGAGTTTGAGGATCCCTTGTTTATTATTACATAGCAATAATAACAACTTCTGGCTATAATAGTGTCTTGAACGCAAAATCTAATCTTAAAAGAGAGTGTAAATCCTGTGAAACAAAATTCATCTGAGTAAATATTAAATGTCGGCTTTCTGCAAGGATCCGTGAATCAGGCAGCATCCAATCTAGCAGATAGAAAGGAGCTCTGACCAAGCAAGTGTCCAGAACTTGGTGGGAGTAGGCAGAACCTGGTGGGACTAGGATGGTAAACAAGGTGAAAAGGAGGGTCGGTGACCGCAAGGTTACTTTCCATTAGAGGAAGCAGGGTATATCAGGCAGGTTCCCTAAGTAGTGCTGTTGAGGTGATCCCTGACTAGCTGGTTAAGATTCCATTTCTAGGAAGCCAAAACTGCAATTAAGTTAATTCTCAGTTTGGTGGTGTGAGGCTTAACATAAGTCCCTCCATGCTGAGCCAGTACTCTTGTTTTTAATAGTCCCTTGAGGTCAGTCACTGTGTTTGTCATTGTTAGTTCTTTGTGTTTATCATAGTGACTGGCACATTCATTCCCCAAAATGCTTATTGAATATGTAGCTTGTGCCAGGTACATGTGGGAGACAGGGATTCAGCCAGAATGTCCCAGTCCCTGATGTTCCAGAGGCACAAACAGTCATCAAACATGGAAAACACAAACAGGACCACTTCAAGGAGTGATAAGAGTTGTTCATTCCTTGTGTTTGAGCCCCTACTATGGGGCTGGCACCGACCGAGGCTGTAGGCACACCAGTGAGTAAGACAGACAGAAAACACCCCTGCTGCTCCTGTGGAGCTGACATCACAATGGGGAGACTAACAAGAAGCATCACCCAGCACGGTGGAAGGGATCAGTGTCTGGAGACAAAAACAGGGCTCAGGAAAATCAGGAGGCATGGTGGGGATTGCTGTGGGCGAGAGAGGGGGAGAGGATCTACAAAGGGCCCTGTGACCACCTGAGGACTTTTCCTCTGCATGAGGGGAGCCACAGCCAGGTTCAGAGCAGGAGGATTGGCCCTAAGTGCTATGAAGTGGGTAAGTGCTGGGGATGCTTGGGGCAGGCAGGGAAGACCTCTGAGGAGGTGATCTGTGAGCTGAGCCCTTGTTTGTTTCTAGCTTCTAGCCCTTGACCATGTTTCTAGCTTCCATGAACTTGATGCTTCAATATCTGCATACATGCACATACTGGACACACCTTGTTCTGGATGATCCCATGACAAGCCCAAAGTCACCCTAGCCTCCTGCTTGCCCATTTCTCTCCTCCCAGACATGCTTCTTAACCACAGTCAACCATCCTGAGCCCACACATCCAGGTACCCCCTCTATGGCTCTCACACTCTGGGCCATGTGCCCCCTGCCCTAATCACCCAGGGCCACATACCAGACAGTAGGGGAAGCCTCTATGCACCAGAAACCTCAGAACCTACTCCCAACTAGCCAATCTTGAGGCTGCTGACCATGCCTCACCTGGGCCTTCTAGAGGAAACCACAAAAAGGATCTTGTCCATAGATTATAAACTTTCTCATAATTAAAAGTTTATGTTCCTTTAAAGGTGTGTTTTAAAGGATTTATAACAACCGCAGAAAAGAGGGCTGGTTTGATCTCAGGCAAATGAGCATTTGGTAGGAGGAATGAGGCATGGACATAATAACTCGAGTGCACAGTAGAGACTCCTGGTAAGGAAAGTTGAGAACAGAAAGAAGGACCAGTAAAGAGAGACGCCATTGAGCAGGTGACATGTGAGTCACATGTTGGTAAGAGGATGACACTGATGTTAGCCTGGGAAGGTCCATGTGGGTGCAGGGAGTTTGGGAGCAGAGCTGAAGGCTGTGGAGTCCATTTTAAATGGACATTGTGATGCTTGGGGAAAATGAACGTGAGGTCAGGTCAGTCCTTCACTCTGCCTGGATTTCTTGAGTATTGACGAGGTACAACAAATTTTCCTAGGGGACCAGCTGTGAAAATCACACAAGAAACATCCATCTTGTTTGGTTTTCATTTAGGTGAAGGGCGACAGACAGTAAACAAAAGAATCTACAAATGTTACTGCATTTTAGAAACAGAAGAAAAGTCAGGAAAGCCAATTGACAGTAAGGAAGGGTCTATGTGTTAAAATGGATTAATTTAGTAAGAAGGTGACACTCATCCAGAGGATTTAAGGAGGAGACAACTAGAACCCAGCCCAGCCCAGCCCAGCCAGGGAAGAATGCTGAAGGGAGAGGAACAACAGCATGTGAGAAGCCTGAGGACAGGGACTTGCCTGGATGTCCCAGCAGCAGTGGAGGGTCCTGAGCCAGAGTGAGGGGAAGGACAGCAGAAGAACAGGGGAAGAGGCAGGTGAAGTGGTGCCCCTTTGTGTAGGGCCTCAGGGGCCACTGAGTGGGACACTATCCATCAGAGCATCCTCAGCCCAAGAGGGACATGATCTAAGGTTTACATGAGTCACTCAGGCAGCTGTGTTGAGACCAACCTTTGTCTGTGCAGCAAGGCAAGAGCAGAAGAAGGGGCCTTGTCACAAGAGTGTGGCAATAACTCAGGCTAGATAGGAGGAGGTTTCAGACCAGACTGGTGCAGTGGAGCGGTGATGAGTTATGACACTGGACATGTTTTGCAGATAGAACTGACAGGGTTTGCTCACAGTTTGGATGTGGGATGTGAAATAACTGGTCACCGCACACTGACTTGAAGGCTCCTATCCCGTCAGGAAGGATGGACATGCTATTAGCAGGGAGGGAAAGAACAAAGGTGCATAGACAGGAGCAGACTTGGCAGAGGAGGTGTTCAGCTTTGGGAGTGCGGAAACTGATTTATCTATTAGACCACCTTCTGCACATGCTGAATAAGAATCTGGAGGTCTGCCATGGTGGTGCAGGTGGAGATAGGGATTTCAGAGTGGAAGTGGGGCCACACTAGACCAGAGAGATCGAAAAACATCACCATAGATGCTGCCTGAGTGAAAGAGAGGGTAAGGAAGAGATCCGTGACCCCCTGAATCACGACACCCCACGGATCTTAAAATTCTGCTTTTGCACATCTAGGTGAAAGGATGCTGGGTTTGGGTGTGAAGATTTAGGTATTGCTTCTGGCTGCCCCTAACACGGTGCTTATGCCACAGGGAAGAGCACCGATGACCACCTCGGAGAAGAAGCGCCTGTGCTTTCCAAACAATGATCCTGCTCCTCCAGCACACCCATGAGGAACACAGCCTAAAATGCCCTTATCCTGAGGCCCCTGAGGCCCTAAAACACCCTGGGGCTCCAGCTCTTTAATCAGCCTCTGTCTCTGAGATTCTCAGAGTGCTTGCAGATAGTCTCCTCGGTCTTTATTCATATCATCAACATTATTGTACAGGGTGCTGAAGGAAGTGCCTAACACTTATGCAAATACAGAAGGAGCTCAGCACAATACCTCCTAGTAATGTAACTGCTAATATCATTCTTTTCCCCCATCTTAGTCCATCCTCCTGGTATCAGGGCTCTTTTCTCAGTCCCCACAAAGAGGAAAGAGACAGAAGCCTCCTGTTCTCATCCACCAGAACCTCATTTTGCTTGACTTGCCAGTTCCCTTGTCTTCTCACTCCCCACACCTGCTCTTGCCTTAAAAGCTCTTCTCAACACCCTGGTTGCCTTTCATGCAGATGCTGAGCACAGTGCTCCCACTGCCACCATCCCACACCCTCTCCACCCTCCCATCTCCTCCTGTGTCCACTGGGGTCACTGGGTTGCTCTCCTGCTCACACTCTCTAGGGCCTCAGTGTACCAGCAGAACAAATGCAAATGCTGGCACCTGAGAGGGAAAGTAACCCCAGTGTGCTCCCCTCCCCTCTCTCCCAAATAAGAAAGGAAATGGGTCCATGTGTGCCATACACTACTCAACATCCCCAGTCAGGCTTGCAGCTGCATCCACAAATCCAAAACGTTGAGATCCTGGTGGCAAATACATAGAACCCCAGGTCACTTAGAATGTAGGAAGAGTCTACATGGGTTCTCTTCAGTCAAAACTTGTTTACTGCTATTTCCATTACGGTGCCAAGTTTAAGAAGAAAGCATTTCCTTGTGAGAGATTCACGAATTTAGAACTGAGGGAAGGAAGATACATGGACTTGTGCCTGGAGACAGTGTTATGCTTCTTCAGCATGACCCATCACCCTTCAGGTGAGCAAAGAGCTGGAAGGAACCAAATAGTCTTGACCTTGTTCACTGCTAAACTTCAAGGCTTAAGCCTTGAAGGGGGAAAGGGAAAGTGATCACCGGGCACAAATCCATTAGTAGATACAAGCATGTGCACTGCTTTATGGGGAAAGTGCAGAAGTCTCGAGGGGAATACCAGTCATGCATCTTAATGAATGAGTGGAGGATAAGATTCCTTGTTGGAGCAACATTTAAGGTAGATGTTGTTTCATGGTCTTATCATTCTGTAAGGCCTGATAAACCTTTTTACCTTTCAGGCAGGACATAGGGATGGAGGCAGGAGTCCAGCCTACGTTGAACTTGCCCTTGGCCCTGGGCAGAAAGACAACATGTCCTGTATCACAGACTTTGGAGTGGTAATCCTGCTAGTGACAATGTTTTAAACTGGTATATGCATGTGGAAATTTTAAAAACCTTGTTGCAATTTCTTTAGCCTTCCCCCCATTGAGAAACGTGCTTTAAATTGGTAACACTCTCTTTATACTGTCATGTTCACTTGTACTTTGGTTGGGGGCTGGGCACACATGACAAGTTCTCACGGCCTCAGGATGAGAATGCGTGTGATGAGGTGTAGAATTAGGAGCCAGAGCATATATATAATCCCAGAGTGTTGCTTATCTGAAATATGTTGAGAAAAGCATGGATTCTGTATTTTCACCCAGTCTGCTGGTGAACACACATTCTTTTTTCTTCATTACTCAGAGAATAACCATTCCTTCACATGCAGAGAGACAAGGGAAGATGTCCAGGGGATTCACACAAATGAGCTAACCTAGTGTATAGGTTTTGCTGTGTACAGGGGAAAAAAACCACGTGTCACACAGGGGGTAACAAAATATATATAATTTGAAAATCACATGCTGAGGCAGAGAAAATATGACATTTAAAACTCAAAATTTCTACTATGCTTATTTTTTCCTCTGGAAGAAATTTTAATTGTTTACTCTAGAAATGTCTGGTAGCTCAGGAATAGGGGAAATTGGTGGAGATAGTGTTTCAAATCAAGGAATCTTGTGTTTATTCTCCACATGCTAGCTTCATCCCCTGGATCACACTGAAATTTTCTCTGTCAACTCTATTTGGCAGGAAGGACATTTTCTTTCATAGAACTTGCTTTCTTAAACAGAATAACAATGTGTGGGCCTGGGATCAGTTGGTGAAACAAATCTGTCCTCCTAAATGCCACACGGGCCCATGTAGACAGACACTAGTCCCCACAGCAGCACCTGGACCATTACCACATAGAGGCACAATCACTCTGAAAGTTGTACAATGACCCGTCGCCATGGGGATGTGATGGTGCATACTGTGCCCTGCATTTCAACTGTCACTCTCTGAGCTGAGCAGTAGCAGTGTGGTTATAGGTGAGAAGCTCCCCACGATGGGAAATCTGAACTGTTGTTCTGAAGGTATGTACATATTCATGTTCTAAAGGCTGTTCCTTCAAACAGGCTAGGTAACTCTCACTAAATTATTCTCAACTTTTTAAATTTAACTTGCACCCTCCCCACTGTCTACAGGGTTATCAAAAGGTATTTTATAATTTTTTGTATGACAATACTGTTGTCATTCTTCTATCAAGCTGACTGTTTTTAATATCTTCCAACATCTAGGAAAATGTTCTATTTCCAAATGCCAGTTTTGTAGGCGTTTTCACAGAGAAAACACACAGAACACACCCACACTGCCTTCAGTGGATCAGGAGAATGTTGATGCCACTGCAGCAATAGTCATTATTTTTGGAGAATTACAGGAGAACTACCGGTGAAGTCTTCCTCAATGTAGATGTCAGAGTCTAAAGGCAAATATTAGCAGTCAAAACCGAGAGGTTTTTATAAGGGTTGAAACTGGGCATTCCTATGGGATTTTGTGGGTTACAGTGGACACATTCACCGGCTGTTTGAGTGATGCCTGGGACAGTTGGTGAGGAGAGACAGTGTCATTGCCCCAATGGAAGGAATATTTTGCACCTGAGGGATAGAGGCTTTGCCAGGTGTTCTCAAAGAGATATCTTGGGCTGGAATCTCCAAGCTGTGCCTATGGAGGGAATCTTCTTAGAGGAGACAGGCCTGTCCCCTGTCACTGTGGGATCTGGAGACGATGAGGAATACTGAGACTAGAGACGGGATGTGTAGGAGGACAGAAGGAGCAGGTAGGTGCATACTCAGCCAGCACAGCCAGGTCCGCTCTCGGCCAGGCCTTAGTGCAAGCCCCTCAGACCTTTACCAGATCAATAGCAAGTCACTGAGAATCACAGATTTAATTCATCAAACCACTCTGAGGTCAGGGACTGATTCAGAGAGTTATAAGGCTGAGTTAAGATTTGGATTTTTCTCTGGTCAGACACTTCTTCCATGGCACCCACTCTCTGCCATAGAAACCTTGCGGCAAGACGATGTGAGAAATTGAAGAGAGTCATGGTTTGGGGGTCCAGGGAATTTTCACAGGGGCCCCAGGCCGGTCTCAGGTGGTCAAGGATCCCCGGGCCCTGGATCTAACTACCTTCCTGCCCCAGATCCATCATTCACCACTGTGGCTCCTTGGGCAGATTTCTTCAGCTCCTTAAATTTTAACTTCCCTAAATTTCAGTAATTCTACTTAATTTTCAGGCAGCCTCACTGTAAAACATGGGTGACAATACCTGCTTGTCCCCACCCTAACAAAGTTAATGTGGGATCACAGCAGATGATAATACATATCCTCCATGAGCTGTGACATATCAGTCCCCTGTAAAGGCTGAGGAGTAAGCTTCCATCCTCCCTTGCTGTGCAGCCATCCAGCTCCCCTCTCTGGCTTCACCATTACCAAGTGTCCAGCTCATTCTCTAGTTATTCAGTAGCTGAATATTTACAGAGAATGGTAAAGCACCAGTCCTTTCCTTTCCTTATGGCTTTCCTTGTGGCAGATAAATTGTTGACTCATTTCCACATCCCAGATGAGGGAACTGAGGTACCCGGGGTCCCCGCAGTCCCTGGGGTACATGGACCTCCGAAGTGGGATGTGAACCTAGGCCATCAGGTATGCTCACTGTGCTGTGTGGCATTTCTCTAATGTCACAGCTAAGAAAATATATTTGACCATAAAACCTGTCTGTTGGGGGTTATAAGTGCACACACACTGTAGCATCTTCCTAACTCCAGCTTTGATCCAGGAGGCTCTGCTGGGCAGCTGAGGAAGAAAGGGTCAGAGGACTGAACTGTGCATAAGTATGACTAATTTCCCTATGGTCTTCTGCCCGCAAGTAGCCAACAGTACTCTCCTCTGTTATCTGTTTCCCAGAAATTTGTTGGGGCAACACAGAAGAAAATATGCCACCCAGGTCAGGAACATCACCTTCTGTCTTCAAAAGGCAGATCAGGCAAGGGCCATTCTGGCCCCACAATAGAATTCAACCTACTGAAGACCCAGAGGAAGGTATTGTGGAAATTTCCTCATGAAGTTGATCCAGAGTACTCTCTTTCATTAAGTACCATATGCTTATGAGAAATCAAAAACCAAAAAAGAAAAAACAAAAACAAAAAAAACAGTGGGGGCACATTTTTCTGTTATTTCATGTGTACAAATTTAAATTTAGTAAGTCAACTGGTGGTAGTATTCAACTCCAAATTGGGTTTAATCTAAGGGGAAACAATTCATAGACCTAGCTAATTCATAAAACTTATCTGATTTGGAATATGGGGAGATACCGATCTCTCCCTGAATCACTGTTTCTAAACTTATAAAACTTAACAGACAGAATTCAGGACAGGTTTAGATGAACATAAAGATTGAACAGATAATACAGAAAATTTCCATAAGCTACCCCTCCAGTTTCCCCTAGCAATAACTTCTTACATGAGTGTGGTACATTTCTTACATTCAATGCAACCACATCCATATACTTTCATTAATTCAAAGTGCATAATTTACACTACAACTCATTCTTTGTGATTTGATATTCTATGAGTTTTGACAAAAGCATTATGTCAAGGATTCCACCATATGGCAACATAAAGAATCCTTACACCTACATTCATAGCAGCAGGACTCAATTGGAATTTGTCAAGATTCCACTGACAAAGTTTATATAGAATAGGCAAATTCGTAGAAAAAGAAAGGAGAGATACCAAGGGCTAAAGGCAGGGGGAAGGAGAAGTTATTTCTTCATGGGTTCAGAGGTTATTTTCAGCCTGATGAAAGGGTTTTGTGTGTATTGTAGTAATGGATACAAAGAATGCTGAATGAAATTAACACCCCTGACTGTATGCTTACAGATGATTAGAATAAATATTAAGTCTATTATATGCCAATAAGAGAAGGAAAAATCAATGGACTAGGTGATGAATAGAGAAACGGTATGCATATACACATGGAAGCTGAAATAGTCCTATAATGAGTGGAGAAGTGGGAATTTAACTGGGTAGGAGGTGTCATGGAACCTGTCATGGAAACAAGGTATGCACTTAGTGTTTGCCCTTCTTCACATTGACTATTTCACATTGATTAGATCCCCTTAGCAAAAAAGGCAAAGCCTCTGTTTCTCATTTCTTTCTTGCTCCTCTGCTTTGCCTTTTTTCATCCACCAAGTAGGTGGGCCCAGCAGCAGCTCAGTCCTTGCTTGTTCACCCATCACACCCGTGCACTGTGGCTCTGTGTCCACATCAAGCAAAGCTCCCTGAATAATTCCTGAGCAACACAAGCAATGTCCTGACAGTTCCTCTGTGTCCTCCAGATCCTCTGGAGGGCTCACTGGAGAATGTTCCTGGTCACAGGGTGGAGGAAGGCACCCAATCTCTCCCCAAGGTGAGGTCATCTTTGCATTTCTGATGTAGAAATCTCTCTCTCTCCCTCACTCTCTCTCTCTCACTCTCGCTCTCTCTCCATTTTCAATCCTAGGCAGGCAGGAGAATCACAATGTACAATAGTGATGCTATATGCAATTTCCTTGTTTGGGGCCCTGTTGAGTGAATGTCTATAACCACCTGGCAGCCGAAACAAAAGGGAATAAAAATGACAGCATCAGTTACAGATGTATATTAGCAAACATTTTCATTCACAGAAACTTTTCTTCCTTGAAAAAGAATTTTGTATTTGCCAATCAGAATGGACTTCTGCCATGCAAAGTTCAAACCTTTTCCGTAGGTGTCCTCTTTAACTTGGGTGAGCCATTGACTCAACCACTGCATATGTTCTTGTTTCCTGAAATCACATGGAAAACAGTGTATATAAGTGTGTGATCCTCAGAGTTTTTCTTTTTTCTATTCACAGGTAGATGCAGGAGGAAATCAAAATTGTACATATTCTAGAATCAGTCCTTTTTCATACAAAATCTAGGTGATGAGGAAGGTGGGGCTGCCCTGGCTGCTTTGGAGAACTGCCCAGATTCTGGGTGCCCACTGGGAATGGGGGTAGGGGAAGCAGTGAGAGAAACTGCCTCTCCTGTAAAAACTATAACAATATTCTACAGACTCTAGAAGGAAGTTGTTTATTTAGGTGTGGTTTTTGTGTATGAGGGTTGGAGGATGTCTATGGGTAAGTCTGTGTGGCATAGCTTGCTGCCTAACACCCTTGTTGCAAATCTCCTGCACAGCTGGTTAGAAAGTGTCAGCCCATACTCCGTGGCTCCTCTCTTTAATGAACTTCCCACTGGCTCAATGGCCCATGCAGTAAAATTGATCCCTGACTCAATGAGACACACAGAGACACACACACACATACACACACTGCATAGGAAAGGAAGACTGGAAGGAAAATACCACATGATGGATAATCACAAAATTCTACTCCTGAAACCAAAACTACACTATATGTTAACGCACTTGAATTTAAATGAAAAGTAAAAATGGGTATTTTTTAAAAGGTAAGTTGTCAGTATTTCAAGTTTTCTATAAGTGATTTACTTTAGGACAATTGATCACTGAACAACTATAATAGGATATTTGCCTAGGATTGATTTCAGTCTCCCAGTAAAGTAGAAAATCTTACAGAAGACATGATCAGTACAGGTGTGGCCTATGGGCATCTGGGGGAAGAACTGGTATTCAAAGAAGATAGTGGCATGAATCATGGATCACTACATCAAAAACTAATGATGTCTTGTATGGTGACTAACATAACATAACAAAATAAAATAAAATAAAATAAAATAAAATAAAATAAAATAAAATAAAATAAATAAAATAAAATAAAATAAATAAAATAAAATAAAATAAAATAAAATAAAAAAATAAAGAAGATAGTGGCAATTTAACCAAACCTCAAAGATGCAGGAGAGGACATGGGACTCTGTCATTAAAACAGCATACATTTTAGGGTTTACCCTTTTGTAATCTGACTCTTTTACACTGAATAGAATCCCCTTAGCAAGAAAACCAAAGGTCTAGTTTCTCATTTTTTTCTGCTCCTCTGCTTCCTTTGTCCACCAAGAACAGCCCAGCAGCAGCTCTGTCCATACATACTCACCACCCATAGGCACACTCCACACAGTGTCCACATCCAGCAAACCACCATGGCTAGTTGCTCAGCGCTGGGGCCCTGACATTTCCTATGTCTCTTCCTAGCTCCCACTGAGGGCCTGCTTGAAGAGCTTCCCAGCTGGGGTGTAGAAGAAGCCCTAACCCTCTCTAAGGTAAACTCTTTTTGTCTAAGAGAGATATTTATTTTTCTTCTTCAATAGAACTAAGCTATCAAATTCTGAGCCTGGACATCTCAGATGATATATCTCATTATGTCAGTGTGGAGAGTTTCAAGTGAGAATGTGTTACCAACTGATACCTGATACAGTAGGGTATTTTATGAATGACAACATCAGCTACAAACCATATGGTAGTGAGCATTTTCCTCAGCAGAAATGTTTGTCCATGAAAGTGAATTTTTGGTTTCCTGATCAAAATGGACTTGCAAGATCTTGTATGAAATGCTCAAGCTTTGTCCATGTCCACTGTATTTTATTCTAGGGCCATTGACTCAACCTCTGGTTCCCATTTGGTTTCCTAAATAGAAAAAAGCACCTGTGTAAAACACTGTATAGTGTGATGCGTTCCTCATACTGTTTTCATTCCTTTAATTGCAGGTGGATGCAGAAGGGAACAAAAAGGTCCCCTTTTTTATAAAGATTTACTTTCATAGGCCTACTATGACCAATGAAGAAATGCTTATCTGCTTCAGTCTGCAGAACAACACTGATTCTGCATTCCTTTTGGGTTTGGGTGCTGAGATGTAATGAGAGAAACTGTCCTGTAGAACTATGACCCTGTTCTACATTCCCTGAGACACTAGGTCATTCAGTTGTATGATTTGTGGTGTGTGAGGGTTGGGGGTGGCTGTGTGCATCTGTGTGGTTAACTGTCAGTGTGTGTGTGTGTGTGTGTCTGTGTCTGTGTGTGTGTGTGTGTGTGTGTGTTTCCTCAGGAGGTATTTCCCACTTACATAAGAGTCAACTGTCTACAAACAAGAAAATCTCATCACCACCGCACATACAGTACATGTAAATGTATTGCATACAATACCACATTCCTCCCTCAACACAGCCATACCTGGAGGTTTGTTTAAAACTCCCTTTCCTCAGGAGATGCTGCAGTGATGAATGGCCCAAGCTCTTGCCTTCTATATGGAAAAGGGAAAATATGAACCAGGCCCATGTCTCAATGTTGTAGCTTGGGCCACTGATCTGCCCTTATCACTCAGCTATGGGACCGTCAGTCACAGAGCAAGTCCCACATCCATTACATACCTGGAGATGCTCATCTACAAAGTCACAATATTGCACAACATTTTAAATGGCCTCCGTGGACAAATAACCCAGGACAGTTCATGTGCATTTAACAACCCATTTAAGCCTAGTCGTTAGTGTGGACCACAGATAGAAAGCACACATGCTTGTGGTCAGTCCACAGATTGTGAAAGGTGTGGATGTAGGTTCCCCATAGGACCATGCAGGTCAACATCTGTCAGAGCTGGGGCCAATTCTCATTCAGGACCAAAGCCCATGAAAGCAACTCCCCACTTCCTTCTCCCCCAATGCGTGGCAACCAATCCTCTATTCTCTGCTTCTATGAATTTGATATTTTACGAACCTCATGGACATGCAAACACATAGCTTTGTGTTTCTGTAGAATAAGGCTCTCCAGGTTCATTCCTCATTCTGCAAATGGCAAGTTCTCCTCTCTCTTTGAAGCTGGAATAATATTCCACTCCACTTAGGTACCACATTTTCTTCATCAGTTTATCAATTCACACAAACCTGTGTATGGAAACTAGGGCTGTTTCCATTTCCTAGCTATTGTGTAGAATGCTGCAGTGTGTATAATGGTACAGCTATATCCTTGAGATGCTGGTTTCATTTCCCCTCACACTATGCCCAGAAGTGTGACTGCTGGATCATTTGGTCCTTCTATTTGCAGTTCTTTGAAAAACTCATTACTGTTTTCATTCATCATGTCTGTACCATTTTACATCCTCACTGTGTACAAAGGTTCTGATTTCCCATATTCTCATCAATACTCTCTATGGCTCTTTCTTTATTTTCTTCTTTCTTTCCCATCCTCCCCCCCTCCTCTCCCCTGCCTTTTTCTTTCCTTCTTTTCTTTCTGTAACTGGCATCTGAAGAAGAGAGGTGATTTCTCATTGTCCTTTTAATTTGCATTTCCCTGGTGATCAATTATGTTGAGCAGGTTTTCATATGTCTGTTGGCCATTTGTACATCTTTGAAGTAATGTCTATTCAAGTCTTTCTCCCATGATTAACCTGGGTTACTGGTTTTCTTGGTTTGTTTTTGCAATTCACATGCAGGAGTTTCTTATATATTTTGAATATTAGCTCTTTTTGCAATGTGAATTTGCAGCAGTCCTCTCCCTTTTCTTTCTCTCAGTTGTTGAAGAGACTATCCTTCTCCATGCTGCAGTCTTGGCATCCTTGTGAAGATCATGTGCCCACGTAAGTGTGTTCATTTGGGGGCTCTCTATGCTGACCCATTGTTCTCCCTGTCTGTTTTTAGGGCAGTACCAGACTCTTCGAGTGTTGTAGCTTGCAATGCGTCTTAAGTCAGGAAAAGTGGAACTTCCACTTTTCTCTCATGCTTGAGATTGCTTTCGCTATTTGAGGTTCCGTGGGTACTTTAGCATTAACTGTTCTGTTTCTATAAAACGACAACGGGATTTTGATAGGGGTCGCATTGAATTGTACTTTGCTGCTACTAAGACCTGGGGTGTTGACCTTACTGTTTTGGTGTCCCAGGACCTCAAAGAGTACCTGGCATGTGTGCATGGGCCCAGGAAATACCTGCAAATGAATGATCCCATCAGGCCATCATGCTACGCAGCAAGGAACGATGAGGGGATGGGCACTTATGTCTTCTACATCTTTGGATTCTACAGCTCTGCTCTCCAGGGTGCTAGCCACTAGCCTGTATCCCTCTGTGTATAACTAATTTCATCCCGTCACTCATTAATTCAATTAATTCTGAGGAAAGAAAACATCAGATTGCTCAGTCACACGAGCCACATTTCATGTGTATCGCTAAGAGTTGGAATCGGGTTGCTAAGTTTGGTTGTGTGAGCTTTAATGAGCTTGAACAACTGAGAGTGTTAATGGCGATTTCTGTAGCATCTCTATCACATCTCAGATTTGCAACTGTGATCACTGTCTTACTGAAGGGCTCAGATTCCACCGAACTCAACAAACTTCTGAGAACTCACAGAAAAATTCAGGGAGATGGTGGATGACCTACCACAACCTCACCTAGAGTAGGAGGAATGGCTGGGCCCCTCTCTCCAATAACGGGATTGCTCGTGTTTGTGTGTCTCTAGATTTGGTTGTGGAGAACCTGGAGGATTATTCCAGCCAGAGGGGGGAAGACTCTCCAGGTCCGAACAGCACTCAGGTGGGAATCAACGGGAGAGGGTTCCAGGTAACAGTCGGGTTGCACCTGCTGATCTGGAGATTGCAAAGTTGCATGTGAAGTCAGAACAGGGAAATAGGTGTAGAAGTCTGATTTGCTCAGTTCATATTTTAATGACATAAAAGGAAGAGGAAGTGTGTCTGTAGGCTTTGAGTGTGTTGTCTTTGAAAATGTCTGTTCTTGCTTTGCTCTCTAAAACTCTTGTTCCCATGAAACCTGTACTCCCCTCCCTTTGCCACTGCCAAATGTCTGATCTTGGTTTTGTTTGCTTGGCACCTCTTGCGACTTGTGCCTGAGAGATTGGGGGACATTATCATGATGATTATGTTAATGCCTTATCATGAATGGATCCTAGCAGGGACACAACTCTCTCACAGACGCCTGACAAAGAGACAAATTTCTAGTGTGTGCCAGGTGGGGAATAAGCTGTAACTCTGTCCCGTTAACTTCTATGATTTGTAACATCATGTTTCTGTCCTGTTTGCCCCTCCTTAAAGACCACTCCCTCACTTGCATATGTTAAAGAATGTTTGCTTTGGCATCACTGTATAGGCTCCAGTGTCCTTTCCCAGAGTCAGATGGGCGCATGTGCTTCTATCTGAGGGAGGCCCGTGTGCAGCCGCACTGCAGATTGTCCATGGCTGGCAGGAATTCTAGACGACTGTGTGGGGGGCTGCTAGGCCTGTTTCAAACATGTTTACTCACAGCCCCACTGAACTGTCACCTGGCATTGACCTGACCCAGGGCAGAAGCTCTGGGCAGCGGGTCCATTGGTCACTGCTCCTCTCAAAACCAAGTGCTCCTGCCTTATGGTGTTAGCCTTGCCTCCTATGACATCCTTGTCATGACCACCTTGTGACCTTTTCTCAGGCAAGCCCAGTGCTTTCCTTCCAGTGGTTGGGGCAAACTCTGGCAGGTACTGTATGTTTATGTGGTCACATGGCTGTATATTTCCCAGGGCCTCACTGAGAGACTAAGGGAAATTGGACAAGTTGCCATCCTCTAATTTTCACTCACCCTCTGTAACGGTTCTAGGAATTTGGGGGGTTATTTCAGGGAAAAATGTCTCCTGAGTATGGTCATGTCAGGATCAGAACAGACACCAGCTACATGGAGGTGGCTGGCACTTTCTCCCTCAAGGTCTGCAGCAGTCCCAGACCCAGGACAGCTGCTCCCCACATAAGAAGAATCAGTGGGATTTAGTGAGTAGGTGCCAGCACATGTATTGTCTTTCCTCCAGTGTTTCCCTATTCCAAAACAATGTGACTGGTGGAGGTCGAGTGTAGAAAGGAAATGAAGCATATCTTAGCAGAAGAAGAGGAAGGGGAACAAGGCAGGAGAGGAGCTGGGAGGGAGGAAGGTAATATCAGGCACAAACTGTTACGGGGACAGTGACCTCCTGAAGGAGTGACAGGAGACACAGGCATCCACCTATTCCTGCTTATGGAGAGAATGTGAGGTTGGAAAAGCAGGTCAGACAACAGAGATCCACACCCTCTCTGCAGACGTGAAGGGTTGGAGCCTGGGGAGGACTCAGAGCTGAGGACGAGTCATCCAGAATTCAGGGTACTTCATCCCTCGAGCAGCGGGGTCTGCGTTCCCACCTCCAACTAACTCTGCGACTTCCTTTCCCACAGCCTTCCCCACATCATCAGTGCCATATCTACTCAAAGACTACTTTGCAGTTTCTGAGGATTCAGATGAACACAGCAACATGGTGCCTTGTAACAATTTCCTCCTTTCATCTCTTTTCACTTTCTCTCTCTGCAATGCATACCTCCTCTTTGTAGCTTTCACCCATTGTCTCTTTTTACGAGGCTCACCCTGAGGAAGCTGGTCTCATCTAGGTACTTGAGGCCTTGCCTCTTCAGGGTCTAGGAAATGTTTCTGCAGTCCCCCTCACCCTGTTCCTTAGTGCTGCCCTGGCCCCTGGACATGGGCCTTCACCACTGACTCATGGTGAGTAGTCCTGAATGGCCCAGCAGTGAGCCAGGCTGGGAGTCAGAAGGGCTGAGCTGGACTGGCCCAGAGAAGGCTGGCCCTGACCTGGTCACATCCCACATGGGTGTTTTCTTACCTGGGGTGGCTCTGGTCATGCCGATTCTTCCCTTCCTTTCAGATGTCAAAAACAGGACCCTAGAGAAACAGCAGAGGGTGATGTTTCACAGGAAGAACACGAAGAAAAATTGTAAATGTGGGGTGCCTGCTGTGAAGGGTTCATCCCTTCCCCAACTTACTTGGTGGGTCTACAGTGGAATCAAGCAAAATGCTGGGCTGGCTGCTACTGCCTGCCACCATGAAGTAGACAAGAGTATAGTCATAATCCATGCAGCCCACTAGATTAGGCCCTGAGCACATCTCCCAGGGAACCAGTACCTAATCCATGCATGCACTTGAGCAATAAGGGCATTGCCCTCCAGCAGCTACTTAACTTGGAGTCAGGGCTCTGGGTGCCTGTAGGGCTACCATGGGCAGGCCTGGAGGAGGTATGTGCATTGATTTATTTCTGAAGAGCGCCCTTGGAGATGTTCTTCATCTCACTCTGCAGGACACAACCCTGCCCTCCCAACCTGTTAAAGTCAACAGAGACTTTCTTCTGTTAATATCTAGGTGTGATGAGACATTTGGGGTTGGTTCAGACCACTCCCGATACCGGCATCTGGCAAATGAGTGAAGACATAGGCCCAACAGTGCTCATGCAAGCAGGACAGCTCACCTCACCCTGCTTTGTATCCCTCTGGGCCCATGGCAGGCACTGGTATTGAGGAGGGGACATTGTACGATCCCCATCTGACTGGAGCTGTCCCTGTGCTTGGGTCCCCTGAGCCCACGAGAACACTTTTGGGAGATAGGGGCTAACTTCATGGCACCATTTTCCAGTGTGACTTTTGATGTTCATTAGATTCTGTCTTAACTGGCAGGCAAGGCCTTCAGGGAAAAGTAGTGCTATCTGCTCCCAATGCAAACATGTCCAGTGGTTCAGCATGTACACTGTGCCATCCTATTCCCTCTGTAGTACAGGAGCATCTAGTAACCGCTATGCCACCCACAGCACCCAGATACACCCAAGGACGGTCCACAGAGAAGTAATGTTGAGGCTTCTCTGACAGTGAAAGGGACTGCCAAGCAGCAGAAAGACCCATAGCCACAGAGAGGCAGGGCTATTAGGGAAGGCACCCTGATGGCATGGAAGACACCACCTTCATTCAGTTTCTGGGCATCCATACAGGCTTGTCTTCCTTCTTAGGAGGCTTGGGTCCTGTAGAGATACATCCAGCCCCGAGAGCTCAGAAGTATGTCCAACCAGAAATCCTATATCTCTTATAAGGTCTGTCCCAAATAAAATGCCATGTGATCTCATACAGCTCCACCTCATGTTTCTCACAGCTGTAGAGAAGGACACTCTGGCCATATCTCAGGCCTAGGTACTTCAGAGGTCCTCATCAAAAGTGAGCCAGACAGGCTTTTGCTGTCCAGCTGCAGCTTTGGTGGTTTCCCAGAGGAAGAGCCAGCATGAAAGGATATACATGTAACCATCAGACGGAAACACTCTTGGAGGAGCAGCTCAGATGCACTTGACAGTCGCAGGCCTCAGAAATAATCTGCGCATACTTCTAACCAGGAGACAGGACAGGGGACCCCTACAGACAAGACAAAGGGATGCTCTGAGGCTGCCACCACCCCTGAGGTGGGTTTAGAATCACTGCTGAAGACCAGCCTCTGAGGAGGAAGCAGCACTCCAAGGTAACACTGGGTAACACTGAGGCCATCTTCAACGACAGCACTAGACGGACTTCTAGTTCTTTCCCTCTGCTTGTAGAAAGGTCTGCTCCTCCTCCAGCTGTCCCTCCAGCCCCCAGCAGGAATACACAGCAGGAGAGATGCAGGAAGACACAGGACTGACAGGGCCCAGTGACCACCCTGGATTCCAACTGAAGGGCAGCTCTGTGCATCCTCTATCTCAAAGGGCACACAGCTTGTGTCAGAGCCCCTTTCAGTCACCTCTTCACAATCACCGTCCCCACCTCCCTGGCTGACTGACTCTTGCTCACTCTCAAGAGTCAGGCAGGGCTGATCTGCTGGGTCCCCAAACCACTACCCCTGCCTCCTCAATCTCACCAGGCAAGGAGTCTGCATGAGAAGTCCATCTCCTGACTGGCCAGCTCCAGAAGCATCTGAGTCACTGTCCCCATTTATGGTGACGCTCTTCCCAGATTCCCCTCTCATGGGGCGAGAGAAGAGACCCTCTGCAACTCAAAGCCTCAGTGACAGCTGAAGCAGATGCCAACTGTGCCTTCCCTGCTCCTCCCAGCATCTCTGAAATGGAGTCCCCACTAGATTCTCCTGTTTTCACCTGGGAGAGCTCCCCTCCCACTCCAGCCCCAGAGCCCATCCTCAGCCCAGCCTGCCCATCATGGCTGCTGCCACTTCTAGCCCATTACCAGCACAGCTGAAGGACTGGCTCCCCAGCCAGCCTCTGACCCTGAGGTCAACCTCATAGACACAACAGTGTTTTGAGGCACTAAAGCCCCTAATATCACATTCCTAGGGGCCCACCTTCTCAGAGCTCCCTGACTTACAGCTGAACGCCTAGCATTGCTGCCTGCCTGGGTGCCTATACATGGGTCTTTTCCCCAGGCCTCTACTCCTAGCAGCCCTATCTCTGTGGTGAGCCCAGCAGGAGCACCCTTGCCATGAGGATGCTGCATCCAGCCCCTACACAGGGCTTGTTAGACCCCAAACTGCTGGGTCACCCACCATGCTGTTTTCCTCCAGGTCTGGATTGTCTTCCTTGGGGTCCCAGAGGCAAATGCTTGTTTTCAGGGAATAGCTTCCTTGAGAATTACCCAATGTCCAATTTCCTCCCAGGTTGGACCATGTGTGAGCCTCGTTTAGATGAGAAATGCATGGTTAGGCCTGACTCTGTGATCCTGGAGCCAACTGAGTGCCCACAGATACAGCATTCCATCCACACCCCTTGCCCTGCAACTTTGCCCAAAGGTGGGTGGTTTAAGGCTGTTGTTCCATCCCTGTGGTCTCAGTCTTCACAGGGCAATTTATGGAAGTGCTCATCTCCCATTTCCCTCCAGGCCTGGATGTGGTGGGACTCCTTCCGCCTAAGCTTGACTCCTCCCTTCTCCATGTTTCCTTCCCAGAACCCTCATGTCTTCTCCAGAACTTATTATAAATCCTTGTTTCTGTTCCTTTATATAATTCTCATGTGCCTGTGCTCTATAAATCAAGGGTTCAAAAGCACGGATTTGGATGAGGGGTAGCATGGGAACCAGACCTCTTTCAATTTTCCTGTGTCTCAGCTAACAGGGTATAAAGAGTAGCACACCTTGGTGTCTAGAAGGACTGACCCCTGCATATGAAAGTGTGTTTGGGGTTTAAGGATGCAGCCCAGGGTATCAGGGGTCCCAGGGGACAGGTGTACCAGGAATATTATCCCTGCTTGCTGGAACCGCAGCTGCTCTAACAACTCTCAGACTCGGAGCAGGCTGGACATCCCTACTGTACACACCATAAGGGGGTGGGGGGGAAGAGAGGTAAACAAACCATAAGATACTCTTAACATTAGAGAACAAGGGGCACCTGGGTGGCTCAGATGGTTAAGCTCGGCCTTCGGGTTAGTTCTTGATCTCAGGGTCCTGGGATGAAGCCCCACATTTAGCTCCTTGCTCAGCAGAGAGACCGCTTTTCCCTCTCTGTCCCTTCCCACACCTCTGCTTCTGTTTCTCTCTCTCTCTCTCAAATAAATATTAAAAAATCTTTAAAAAATGGAGATCAAACTGAGGGTCAATGGAGGTAGGTGGGTGGGGCTGGGCTTCCTGGGTGATGAGTATTAATGAGGGCACTTGATTTGATGAGCTCAGGGTGTTGTAAGCAAGTGATGAATCACTGAATTCTACTCCTGAAACCAACATTGCACTGTATGCTACCTAGCTAAAATTTAAATAAAAAATTGAAAAGAAAATAAAAATAAGAAAAAATGAGAAGAAATAAAAATAAAAATAAATACTAGCTGTCTCAATACAGTAATTGAAAGAGTATCAGAATGGACTTTAAAAACATAGGAAACACTTACAAGAAACTCATTAGAAGAACCTCTCTTTAATGATCAGACTATAGATAAGTTAAAAGTAAAGAAGCAGAAAAAGTTAAGCCACCATGCTAACACAAATGAAATGTAAGCCAGAGTAGCTACATTCATTTCAGACAAAGCTGACTTCAGAACTAGGAAAATGATCAAGGATGAAGAGAGGCATTACCTGAAGAGGAGGGTCCCTTCTCCAATAAGACATAAACATTCCTTCACCTACATGCATCTGACAATACAGCATCAAAGTATGTGACACAAAAACTGTTGACGAGGGGAAAGAAATATGGAAAAATCCACTCCCTTGGTGGACAGACATTCGAATGCACAAATTCACTATTATAGCATGAAACCTTGCTCTTTCAGTAATTGACACATGCATCCTGCATAAAGTCATTAAGGATGAACTGAACAGTACCTTCAATCAACTGAATCTACATGACATTTATGAACTAGTGTACCTAGCAATAGCAGAATACACAGTCTTCCCAAACGCAGGTGGAGCATTCACCAGAATAACCACATTCTGAGGGGAAAAAAACCCACACCTCATAAAATTTAAAACAAGAGACCTCATACACTTTATGTTCTCAGACCCAAAGGAATGTGACCATAGAAGGCTAAAAGAGAAAAATAACTAGAATATTCCAAAATCTGTGGAGACTAAACAACACATGGATCGAATACAGAACACTCAAAAGAATTTTCAACTATTTTCCAATAAGTGAAAATGAATATACACCTTGATAAAATGTGTGGACTTCAATGAAAGCGGTACTTTGAGGAACATTTAGAGCACTGAATACATACATTAACAAAATAAAGATCTGAAGGAAATGGCTAGAAAAAAGAACAATGTAAGCCTCAAGCTAACCAACCAAAAAAAGAAAAAGGAATAATTTCTGCAGAAATTGATAAAAGGAATAGCATAGAGGACATTAGGAGAAGGAAGGAAGAAAAGAAGGGGGGAAATCAGAGGGGGAGCTGAACCATGAGAGACTATGGACTCCAAGAAACAAACTGAGGGTTTTAGAGGGGAGGGGGGTTGGGGTGATGGGTTAGCCTGGTAATGGGTATTAAGGAGGGCACGTACTGCATATAGCACTGGGTGTTATATGAAAACAATGATTCGTGGATCACTACATCAAAAAGTAATGATGTAGTGATATATGTATGGTGACTAACATAACATAATAAAATTAAATTAAATTTTTAAAAATGGAAACTCAATAAAGAAAATAAACCAAAACTAGTTTTTGGATTTAAAAAAATAGGGCATAAATATTTAGAATTGTTAGATCTTCTTGGTGGATAGATACCTTAATTATGATTTAATGCCCTTCTTCATCTCTTGTTACAGGCTTGGTTTTAATACCTACTTTGTCGGATATAAGGATGGCTACCCCTGGGGTATACCTACTCTGGGTTTCTTTTGACATCCATTGCATAACAAAGGTTTCTCTGTCCCTCACTTTCAATCTGCTGATGTCTGTAGGTCTAAAATGAGTCTCTTATAGGCAGCCGACAATTTGTTTTTGTTTGTTTGTTTGTTTTCTCCATTCTGATGCACTATGTTTTTTGATTGCAACATTTAGTGCATTTACTTTCAGACTGATTATTGAAAAGTCTGAATTTAGTGCCATTGTTTTCCCTGTAAAGTTGGTGTTTCTGGTGATGTTCCTTGGTCCTCTGTTGCTTTTGGTCTTTTTTCCCCACTCTAAGAGCCCCCTTTAATATTTCTTGCTGGGATGGTTTAGTGCTCACAAACTTTTAGTTTTTGTTTCTCTGGGAAACCCTTTCTCTCTCCTATTTCCTGAGTAATGCCTATATTAAAAGAGGTCCAAAAAACAAAAAATTAAAAAAAAAAGTGGTCCTATCCTATACTGTCTTGGGCCTGAAGCTTCAGGAGGTGTTTCATAGTGTGTACTCTGCTATTGTATTTTGCTACTCCTTCCCTCAGGTCAGTCCTCTGCAGAGATTCACCTTGCCTGTAGTGAGGAGTGTCCCAACCTTGTCCACTGTGTGGCAAGATCTAATTAAGTGTGTTTTGGTCTACTTGTTTCTTTTTAATTATTTCATTTATTTATTTGACAGAGACACAGCAAGAGAGCGAACACAAGTAGGGGGAGTGGAAGAGGGAGAAGCAGGCTTCCTACAGAGCAGGGAGCCCAATGCGGGGCTTGATCCCTGGACCCTGGGATTATGATGTGAGTCGAAGACAGACACTTAAAGACTGAGCACCTAGGCACCCCTGGTCCACTTGTTAAATGAAGCTAGAGTCAAGCAAAAAGGAAGCTAGATCCTATTTTGCCTAGACCTAAAGCTTTGCAGCACTCTATGATCAGCAGACTTGTGCCATGCCAGAGGTTTCTGCTGGTATTCTGTGAGAGGGGTCAGCCTCACAGATTCTCAGATGA